GTTCTTTCCTCTTGGAGTTATGGAGGTCACACACACATGCTCTTTTTTATTATGAATTTCTGTATTGCATATTGGTGTATAGAAGACATATTAATACTAGAAATAAACGACCTTATAACACCAAAGTGTTGTTTTTATTTAATTAGTTACTCAACATTTCGCTTTACAGCTTCTTCAGAAGTGTTCACTAAAACACAAACTGAAGCTTTACACTGTCAATTTTGGATTGTGTTTTTGTGAACGCTCCTGAAGAAGCTGTAAAGTAAAACGTTGTGTCTAATTAAATAAAAACAATATTTTGGTGTTCGTTTATTTCTATTAAAGCTTATTGTTGAAAGAAAAGTGTTATCGAAATAATTAACTGCTACCTGTAGTAAACAAAAGTTCTATTAAGGTTACAGAGTGAAATAACAAAAACATAAAAACAAAATAAAATAACTAAAATCATAGGTGCCATCCTTTGTCCCTACTCATCTGTGCTCGTAGTTATTCGAGGAGAAGAGCATCTTTGAATTTTCTGTCAGTGGCTTTGGTGAGGATTTGTACAGAGAATGGTGGTTTCAAATCAGTTGTTACTTGTCCATGATTAGTTAAAAAATGGTCTGCAACTGTGCTTCTTTCATGTTGCTGTTTATAAAGAGAGTCAATGTGTTCTATCTTTGTGTGTATGGTTCTTCCGTTTTCTCCTATGTACGTATGATGGCAGATGTTACATGTAAGCTAGTAAACAACATAGGAGACAAGACACTCATCTTTACATTGCAAACAGGTTTTTGTAAGGCAGTTGGCTTTATTAAATCGTAGGGTAGTGTACGGAGATTTTTGGGTTGAGTCTATAATCAACAACTATGAACTGCCGATTAAAGTTATAGAACAGCTGGATATAGGGAGACTACAGGAAGTAACATCCAGTTTGTAAACTGATATAGAGGGACTACAGGAAATAACTTACAGTTTGTAATTTGATATATGAGGCTACAGGAAATACAATCCATGTAATCTGATATAGAGAGACTCCAGGAAATAAAGTACAGTTTGTAATCTGATATAGGAGGCTACAGGAAAAAATATCCATGTAATCCGATAAAGTAGCTACAGGAAATAACACCCAATTTGTAATGTTATACAGCAAGACTACAGGAAATAAAATCCAGTTTATAATCTAATACATGGGAATACAAGAAATAAAGTACAGTTTGTAACCTCAATACAGGGGGGCTAGTGAACATAACATTCAGTCTATAAGCTCATATACGAGGAATAATAGAATTAACATCCAGTTAATGATCTGAAACAGCAGGACTACAAAAAATAGCATCCAGCTGTTTTCTCAATGATCACTGTACATTACAAGCAGATGCAAAATGCTATATCACTAAGCAGCAACACCATTTGAGATGTAATTTGGAAGTTGGGGCAAATTCTCATGAAGGTGAACTCATGGATTTTGCTAAAGAGAAAATGAAATAATATATCTGGACTGACGGTGAACTGTACTGTAGCTTTAGAGCACACACAGTGAAAGATTAAAATTGATATGTTATTCTCAAATAGTGTGATTTGACTGTCACTCTTATTATGCACTCACTGCCCCTTAGTGCCTAGCTTAAATGAGACTGAATCCTTGTTTTATATAGTCTTCCATTAATACTGAAACCTTAGTTTAACTAGGACTGAATCCTTGTTTATATGGACTACAACCTCATTTATTTCAGCTGAGTAGGTACTTTATATAGGACCAAATCCTTAGGTTACCTAGTTATTCCAGAACTGAGTCGTTAACTGCAGACCAGTACCTTCATAAACTACATACCACACAAGATTGTATAAAATAGTACATGTTCAAATGCTGTATATTAATCTAAATAAAATAAATAATCTCTGTCGATTCAGTGATAAAACTAGTAAAAATCAATGCTTTTGGGCATAGTGCACTCTGTGATACTATTAGTTTCCATATTCCCAACCACACACAGAACAGCACAAAGACCCTGTAACATCACGAACGTCAATTATCGAGCTGCAGTCAGGTGTATGATAGATATCATGTGCACATTTTGACATCATCTTGCGACCTGTTTCCATTCACGTCTTTTCTCCATGATTGACGTGCTTCTGATAAAAACAAGTACTTTGACTCATACGGCACCAAGTAAGCAATTTTCTTGTTTCAAAGACAATACAGATTACGTGTTATTCGGGAGATGATGTTTTCCTTTTGAAACATGTCGTTCGTTACACTTAAATCCCTATATCTTATCATTCTAACATGGACAGAGTGAACAATCATTAGCTATATACTCCATCAACAGTTGAGCAATGAACAATCCGTCGCTAATTCAAAAATGCAATAACAGCATCGGAGGAATTAGCCTCAGATTTAATGAACATCATAAAGAAACCTCGTGTGTTTTTAAACATCTCAAAGAAACCAAACATCACTGAAAATAATGTCAAAATCATTCAAAGAAAACCAGACATCAACAGAAGAAAAATAGCAGAAACACTATTGATAAAGTCATCAAAGCCAACCCTAATTGAACATCTGGAACCCTCCCTCCCTTATCTATGTTTATATTCCATCCATTTTATTTTACTAAACAGCTAACGCCACCTACAAATCTTGTCCTCGCCATAACGAGTCTCGGTCTAAAACGCTCTCCGAGTTTCAAACTGCTTTATTGAATGTCATTGTTAACCGATGATAACCCGATAATTTTGGTCGAAACACTGTAATAATTAAAATCAGAATTTTCCTACTGTAAAAGTTAGTTATTGTATTTTTGAATTAATTAATTAGTAGGCTTCCAGTAAATTATTAAATATGTCACTAAGTATGCTCCCTCAACGTTCACAAATAACCAATCTATCACTAACTGTACTCCGAAACAACTGACCAATGAACATTGTCATTAACCACTAAATCAACCATCAAGAAATGAGCAATCTGCCACTAACAACACTCAACTAACTGTTGTGAAATAAAGTATTTATCACTAACTGTATCCCCTCAACAGTTCACATACTATATGTCACAAACTGTAATCTTTGACCAGTTGAGAAATAAACACTTACACTAACTACACTCCTTCAACAGTTCACAAATGACTAATTTGTCATAGCCTCACTCAGTTAATAGTTTGTCAGTAAATTCTCACCAAAAGTGCTAATGCAACATCGTATGGTAATACATAATAATAACAGATGGAAATCCTGGGAGACTAATAAAGTAAGTATTTATGTCACAGCTTCAAACTATTTATAGCTAGTGTGAGTGGTTGACAATGGCCACCACTAAGATTAATAAAAACTGTCTCGCATCAATTCTTTAATTACACATTTTCAAGAATATTCGAAATC